TTTTTTTGCCAAATTAATGGTGACATTGTTTTTCGAATATATAAGCAAGTATAAAATGTTTAGGAAGAAAGAGAACACTGTCGTATTTTCGCTTTGTTCGAACTGGAGGCAAAAGAATAGAAACAAATTTCTTTCGGAGTATTCAGTGACGTCATTTGTTGTCGGTGGATAGATAAAATATGAGAGAGAGCGCGTAAAATGTAGATGAGTACATAAACTCAGCTTTGTATGAAGAAAATTCTGAGAACAAGGATTGATATTTGCATCTGATGAGTATCGTATGATCCAAAATGTCAAAGAACTTCTCACACAGTCATATTTTGTTAATCGCTACAAACATCTGAATGTTGAATGTATTTTTTTTAAAATTACATAATAAATGACCGATTCGTTTCTTTCTATTCGACTTCAAAGAAAAGTTCGCTTGTGCACATAAGAATACAAAAAGTAATACCATGTTAGTTTTATAAGAATGGGCAGTCAAACTTTTATCACTGGAAGAAAAACATCGAGTTTTGAGTGATAAATGATTTTTGATGCTGGCTGCAATCAAACCAGATATTCGAATAATGATGGTCTTTTTTTTTCTACTGTCATCAAGAATATTAGATTGATTCAAGAAATTCAAAGAAAGAAAAGTCCTTATATGAAATAGACTACATTCAGATTATTTCAACACGTTGACTTTATTATAATATTTACGTAAATAATTAAAATATTGTGTATACTTTTATTCTTATGAAGTTCAATTTTTAACACAAATGATATTTGTAGAAATATCAGATTCATAAAAATATTGTCTATTGTCTTTTCATAAGAAAAAAAAAGATATGAAAACTTTTTGCGATGACTCTACGTCATTTAACAAAATATTGATGTAAAATTGAACATTTCACAAGTTCATAATACGGTTCCTTAAAAGTAATCATCCAAAACTTTGTCAAAATTATATCTTAGAGTCCTTAGTCTTACAAGAAAACATTCTTAACTGTGTCGCCGAATTCCTTCGAAAAAAGTACTACATAGTTTTCTATTTTTGACTAGTTATCCAATATATACTATTTTCTAAAGCACTATGTAACTTCTTCTTCAGTTATTTATTAAAGAATAAACGAAGAAAAATCGAATAGTTTGAATACTGTATACGCAAGTTATGCTTGAGTAATGTATTCTCATTTACTTTACTCAGTGTGCACTTTTCATATAAAGTATTACAAAGCGATAGAAAACAAAATATGATGTGATATCAAATTGCATATTTCATTAAAAGTAGATTTAATACTGACAAGTATTTTTTTTTGTTTCATCTGTCGTTAATGTTTAAAGTAATACAATTTTTTAGAATTTTGAAAAACATTTTTGTTCTTTATTTAAGTTCTATTTTTGTACAATATTTAAAAAAAAATCAAATATATCAAACAAATTTGACTCATTATAACTAATAGATATTTTTATTCATTATAAATTATTAAGGTATCCAAAAAACTTGTACATGATATAAAACATCAGAAATAATTGTCGGTTTTGGATTGAGATACCATACAAATGAAAATTTATTATTATTAGAATCTAATAATTGTCGAAGTGCTTGTTCAATACTTGAATTAATTTCATCATCAGTTATAGGTGAATGTGTTATTGGATCAATATTTTCATTTCCATTTAAAAGAAACCAAAGAACATAATGATTTGTACCAGTTGGAACTTCATAAGAGAACGAATTTGGAACGAATCGAAATTCATGAGTTTTCGAATTTTTTGCCACAGTTAGTCGAGCAGAAGATATTTCTGTATCAGGAACATGCATTCTTGAATTAGTCCAATCACCTTGTAGAGCAAATTGCAATCCAAAAAATCGATGTAGTACCAAATCTTGAAGACTAACATAGCGATTTAACATATTCGTTATGTAATTATTCTTTTTTTCTTTGATGGCAGTATTAGGTCGAATACTTTCAGCTCCAGGTATCCAACCATATTTAAGATGTAATTCTTGCATGGATTCTGGATTTGATGATATTTTTTGACGAATCATCTAAAGCATATGATTAAACAAGGATGTTGAATTTATATCAAAATATCTTTAAGAAGAAATTGAAAATATTTTGAGAGATGAAACTAATAAATCCAATAAAAAACACTCAATTCAAAAAGATTTTTTTTTGATACTTACAATTTCCTCTAATAAGTTATTATCATTATGGAATGTATAAAGATATAGATCACTGAAAATTTTCTAGTTAAGAATAAAATGAAAGGTTAAGATGAGATATATTGAAGGTGTATACAATCATTCTCTGACGTTTGTTTATGACGTCAAGTGAAAGAATGAGAGTTTGTTACATGTGTATGTATGTCACAAGTAAATGTAGTGATTGTGCAATTTTATTCCAAGGATATGTATACGATGTGACAACAAAGAAATCTCTCTTGTTTTAAAAACAGAACAAGAAAAAAAAATGTAATTTTTTTTTTGATTCTTTTCTCGAAACACTCATGTGGTGATGAATAAGTTGGTTAGAATCATAAGAAATAACCCAATGATATTTTGCTTAGTTTCATTGTTTTTATTTGACTAAACTCATATAGAAATTTTGATTAATATTTAAATATAAATTAAAATAAATCAAAAAGTCATAGAGTAAGTAGAAATTGAATCATTGTATTAGTAAAACAGTTTTAGTCTTTGCTGGTCTATCTCGCATTTTCTTTTCTCATCGATCGGCACTACCTTCGTTGTTGCTGATAGTTCACAGTACTTCAAAGGAATAGGCATATCCATAATGTGTTTACATATATAATTCTTAGAAAAAAGCTGGACAGTTGCATTTTGATGTTTTCCAATGAAAATCATTTTGTATTTCCATACGCCAAATATCAAATGAGTTTTTGAATTGATCAAAAGTTATCCATCTCTTGTTATCAGGACGGCGCGACCGGGAGGTTGAAGCAGAGTATCCGCCCTCTGATTTTGAAAATTTTAATTTTTTTGTTCAACGATTTTCGAAAACTTGAAAAATTTATAAAAACTTCAGAAAAAAAATCGCCTACCCTACTTCAAAATGTGAAGTTGGAAATATTTTTTTCACATTTCTTCCCATTTTTCGAAAGTACCCTTCTCCTGCTTTGACCTCTTCCTGCCGCCTCTGAATACGAATTAAAATAATGATTCTTCCTATTTACAAAATATTTAGGTTGAAAGAAGTAGGTCACAAGAACGACAATATATGTAGAACAGCTGTAGCCAAAGAAAAATAAAAATAAAAGTGACTCACTTTATAATCATATCAACTTTTATACTGATCCTTTAATATAATCGACTGCTAATAAATGACATTTACTGATTTTTACAATTTATTTACAAACATAATCAATTAATAACTGATCGTTTAAATAATTTACTGATTCATCATTGATTTTATAATTATCCCCTTGACTGACTGCAGTTTTCCAAGTTTCAAAGAATGTACAAAATATGATGTGATGACCTAGGTGATTTGTCTGACTATGATGAATATTAACTGCCTGTTGTGATGTTGCAACTGATTAATTTTGTTGGTTAAATAATCTGTTTTCCTATGAAATATCCTATGAGTACAGTTCTCGAGCAAGGTAACATAAGAATTTCATATTACTTTCTTAGTTGTTCATAAAAGGAACCAATAAGAGTAAAAAACCTTTTTCGAAATTTTCAATATGTTCAAAATCATTGAATTCAGTTTTTGTATACTTTCTGTAAGAAAAAAAAAACATGATTTTTTAAAAATAAATTCTTTTTTTTCCTCATATTTCTATTTAATAAT